GCTGGCAGCACAGAAATGGAGTGGGAGCTGATGACCTGTGATACATGGCAGCTGTACCTCCGTGGGGAAAACAGATTCTGAGGGGACGGGACATCAGAACATTATTTCCTGGTATCAGCTGGAAACCGGCAGCATGGCACTGAAGCCTGTTCTCTGATGGCAGTCCACCCTCCGTTCTGCCCATCTGCCCACACTGTCTGCGATGGAACTTGCAAGATGCTCTGCCCTCTGTCCCACCAGCTGGAAACTACGGCTTTTCAGGAATCTCCTGCAGGGCCATGAGGGGACATTGAAGGGGGTGGGAGAAGCGCCAAAGACAGCTTCCTCCTGCTACTGCAAAGAAGTGGAGAGACTCAGCACTGAGGGAAGAACAGGGGGGACACAGCACAGAAATTGGGGCAAGGAGACCAGTCCTCCCTCTGCCTCTGAATTGCTGGATGAATGGTATCACTACTCACTCTGTGCCTGTTTCCCCCATCTATATAATGGGGATAATACCCATCCCTACTGGGGCAATATGAGAAGCTTCATAGGCTCATGCACATGGAACTGTTTGAGACCTTTGGTCTTCTCTGAAGTCTGAGAGATCCTCAGATGAATATAAATGGAGGTGGCACAACACAGATACGTTAATGACACCTGCTGAGGATCTGGCTCTGGAAGCCTGACCTGTCTCCAGACACCTCTAACCTTCTAACAGCAGGAGAGCAGCAGAAGGAAAACACAGACGTGATACAATCATACAGGTCAAAGAAATGGGCCTATGACTGCAGGCAGCTCTGACTGCAAGGGGGGTGCAGAGGGCTTGCATCCCCTGCTCAGCTGAGCCATAGTGGTAAAAGGCTAGTGGTAGCATGGGATGAAACATATAAACCTTTGGGCAAAGAGGATAGACCTTTGTGTTTGTCTATACATATGAGCCTGCATGAGGGAGGGGGGGGGAGGGAGGGAGAAAGAGAGAGAGAGTGTGTGTGTGTGTGTGTAGGGTTACAAACAGATGTTGCCAAATGAAGCAGATCAGCTGTGCCGGGATGTCTGTTGCCCGGATTGGGCAGCACAGACATTGCCCCTTGTTACATGGGGTCAGGACCTTGCCACTCCAGAGGCTTCAGGGGCTGATCTTGTGAGACAGCTGCAAACACGGGAACCCAGGGTTCCCTGCTTGCAGATGGGCACCTGGGGAAACCACTGCCAGGGGATCCCCAGAGTGCCTCTGCAAATGGAGGAACCCAGGCAGGTTCTTCAGGGGCCCGATCCTGCATGCCGCTGAAATGGGAATTGCTGGGTGCACAAGACCGATCCCCTGTAGTTTTGGGAGTGCCTGCCCAAGGTGACTAGAGAACACAAACAGCTCCAGGCTGCCTGCACCTTTCCAACATAAAACAGGCAGACATCTGCCACAAAAAAGTGGCACAAATGTATGCCAGTAATTGTCGAAGCCACAGTTTTGGGCATTTGTGGTGTGACAAGGGGCGTGGATCCCTGTTTACTTTGCCTCTATACTGCCATAAAATGTTTTACGGCAGCACAAATGTGACGCTTGTTTCCAGCCTGAATATATTTGTGTGTTCCTCTGTATCTGCATGCGTGCCTGCATGTGCGTGGGGGGAAAAGGAGGGTGAACGGCTGCCGCCTCTGTGCATCTGCGGTCTTTGGGGATGAATTTCAGAAGCAAACAGACTAGGACTGTAGCCACATTTGTTCTGTGAAAATCTCTTGCTGATGGAGCCATTTAAAGAACACAGAAGAGACCAACTTGTTCCTGAGCAGAGCTTGAGTGGACGGGGACATGCAGTATTGCCAGCCGCAAGCATTTGAAACCCATGAGTCAGATTCCCCCCTCCCTGGAATCCTCAGCGTGGCTGGCTTCGAAACCATGAGGCTTAAGGAAAAAACATTTGGCATTCGTTATCTTTACCTTCTGCTTTCCTTGCCTTTTGGGCACGTGCAGTTCACGTGTACAAGCTGTTCCCCCCAACCATGGGGCTCCAAGGTTTTGGGTTTGTTTTTTTTTAACATGAAAAACTGCAATTCTTCTATCACCACATGACTCTTGGAGCTGGAGCTCTATGAAAATCCCTAAGTACTGCAAGGCTCAGGACAACATTGCAGGTGATTAGGGGTGGAGCAATACCATGGCTTTCAAAGCATGATTACTAGCATGTCTGTGCAAACAAGCCTGAGAAGACTAGAAATGCCTAAACCCCACAACAGTCCAAAAGTGTGTTCTGTCAGATGCCAGAAAACATGTATGCTTAAAAAATCATGTACCCTAAAAAACCCACTGGAGACTCAGGCTCAGCCCTGTTTCAGCACTAACAGCTGCACCAGCCAAATTATCTGGCCCCACCTCCAGCATCCTCTTTGCCTGCCATTGGCCTAGGAAGAGGAATGAGAAAAGGGACTCAACTTCAAACCCCGCTCTGTTCCACCACTTCACACTGCCTCCTTGACCCACAGGATACCCCTTGCTGCCATTTTGGAATTTGGGAGCCATTTGGAAAAAAACAGCAGTACATTTGGCAAACATCTGTGAGCCTAAATAGCCTTTAGTGATCCTACCTATTCTCAGTGTGTCGCCAGCCACTGTGTGGGACCTTTTTCCAGTGTCACAGAGGTCCTCCAGTGCAGGGGTGGGGCTCTGGTGATATTCCCAGCCCTGGGTCACCTGAAGTCTAACAAGCCCAGCCTTCAGCATTTTTCCCTCCCCAAGGGTATGACTAGGTGCACATCCCTGTTGTTCTCTGATTCTCCTCACTAATAAGCTCCCCTTAGTTGCTGGCCATGGCACTGAGGTGGTGGTGGGCCTCTTTTTGACTCGGGGTGGGAAATGCATGATTCTGCTGACAAATAACCTCAATAATCTGCTGCCTGTTGCTGATATCATAATCATGACACACTAGGATGACAATGGATCAACATTCTTTGTCCCTATCATCCTTAGAGGTTGATGCTGAACACATTGTGACGCTCATAGTGATGGGGCAGGTGAGAGGTGGAAACGATCACATGAAGGATCAGGAACTAGTGGCTGAGTGAGACTGGATGGGTCCATCCCTGCTCTGCAGCCAGGAGAGGGACGCCCATGTTCCACAGAGACCTTTGCTTTCTGAAGTCTGAAGGACCCCCACCATGCTTTGAAGGAAACACACAAACACACACAATCTAGAATTTGCCTGCCAGGTTCCTACTTCTTCCTCAGAGAAGGTACTCTGTGTTAGGTCAAGCCAGGCTAGGTGTCAGCCTATGCCATTTATGGAAACATCAGAGCTCAAGGGCTGGAGGAAGGAAGGCACTAGTTGAAGATTAGGAAATTTGGGCTCTGTACCAGATTTGGGGCAAGTTCTTTCATTGATATGGTGGCATTAACAGAGCGATAGGGAATTGAGTACATAACTCCTACTCCGTTTTAATGGGATTGGGGTACAATACTTAACTTCCCTGGGCTCTTCACTCTGTAAAATGGATATAATAGTACTGTTATCTGTCACATCTGGGTAATCTTTCTGGCAAGGTCTACCTTTCCATGCACAAAAACTGGGGCTCTAATCTCAGTTGGGACCTTGAATTGTTACCAACAATTAGATGACAACCCTGGAAACTTTATAAACCAAGGATCTTGCTGTGTGCCTTTGCAAACCTCTCTGGCCAATGCTGGCCTGAGGACACAGGGGAATGTGAGGATGACAGCCCCCTCTTTTTTGCATGTATGCAGAGATCAAGTGTATGCTGCCTTCTCTTTGCTTTGCACAAAGAATATAATACAAAGGGGTCATACACACACACGCACACATGTACGTGCACACAAAAAAAGTGTTTGACAAATCTGAGAGATGGTTCTGGCTCATTGTTCATGTTCCCTCATTTCTAAAATAGACTCCGAGTAAGGACGTTGCCTACCAGCTAGCCCCAGGTTAGCGACAAAGTTCCCCTTCTAAATGAGACCCAGAGCAGGAGGTTTCCTGCTGGCTAACACCATGATGCAGATAAAGTTCCTCCTTCTAAAGGAGCCAGAGATCAGAGTACCCCCTGCTAGCTCACACCAGGTTAGTGAAGATCCAATCTGAATAATTTTTCCTCAGCTCAGTGTAAAAAAGATGCCTGAATCATCCTGATTTTTTTCATTAGGAAACTAAATTCTGTTCTGCACTGAAAGATCCCTTTGTTCTCTCCAGAGGACTGACATGCTGGGAAATTGCCTAAGCCCAGTCAGCTCTGATGTTTGCCGTCTCACGCGTTGCCTGTATCAAACTGACAGTTCACAGATTTTAGTCTAGGATTTTACATGTACAGTACAAGCTGAAACCTGCTCCTGTCTTTTTCGACTGTCCTGGAGAGAGAGCAAGGAAGCAGGCTGAGTTGTGGAGCAGAGCACGATGTTGTGTGACTGTAATAGAGACATCTCACAAAGCACAGCAGTTTGAGGGCACTGTCACTTGCCCTCTGACAGCAAATGAAAAGCTCTTGTCTGCCCAACATCCCCAGCATTGGACAGAGGGGGGAATCTAACTCTCAGTGCAATCAGTGGGCAGCCATTTCTGCCTACAATCAACATAACATAAACCTTCTAGAGCAATGACCTTGTTTCATGATGGAGTAATATCCTAAAGATGATAGGTCACCCTAAATAAGACTCTTTCTTAACAGTACCAGTATTTCCCAAAGAGTTGTCCCAATATTACACATATTGTGGAGATTGATCGGAATCCTCCCTAGAGCTCTTACTGATGATGACATTTTTGAGGAATACCTTCCCTACCGCCATCCCTCCACCCTGTGAAAGGGGTGGAGTCTTCCTCTTTCTATCTAAAAAGGTGTGTATATCCCCAAGACTCATGGACCTGCATGGTAATACTAGATAATTGGTTAAAGAAATTTCTGCCAAGCTTATAGCACCACAGCCAAGTCCATGATTGAGTATCATGACAGATCATTGAACTTTATACTTTCTCCAACACAGTGCTATCCAACACCTGTACCGGGGGTAAAACTTCACCTACCCAAGTCAGATGATGTCAGGATGCAGGCTGATTGGCTGCCAGAGGCTCAGTGGGTATCGATCTTTCCTTTTCTTTCCAATTGTGCACTGAGAAAGAAATAACACATGAATTATAGCTTGTCTAGTATTTAAAACCAGCAAGAAACACTGTTTCTACACTAACAGCAAAGTTAGATTGGAAGGACAACCAACAGGATAACTGAAAAGCTTTTGAACAACTTTTCCTCCCAAAACATGAGTCCAATGGTGCATAACCTTCATCCAGACTGACATTTGAAAGCCATAAATGGGAGCATGAGAGAAAAAAAGTACAGAAATACTACGGACTGGGAGAGTTTATGGGGTAGAAAATAGGCAAATATATCACAATTATGTCTGTCCCATGTGACTGCTAGAAGAACCCACCAAAATCAATTACATAATAAAAGTAGTTTTCTAATGAAGGAGGAACAGAATTGGGCCCATCTAAGCAAAGTCACTCCTTGTGTTGCTACACTGATTTTAATGGAGTTATACCTAGGGTAGGTTTGGGAATACTTTTGGGTGTCCCAATATGGTAGGTAGTTTTCCATTAAGAGAATTGTCTTGTTCACTGTATTTAAACAATAGGTATCATCCTTCCTTTAGGACAGTGGTCTCCAACCTTTTAAGGTGACGATCATTTTTTGAAGTAAAGGGCAATCCAGGATCTACTATGCACCCCACCCCGCCCCGCCCCCCCAGCAGGTCAGTCTGGGGGGAGGCAGACTGAGGCTCCCGCAGTGAAGGAGGGAGTGGGGCAGGGGTGAGTGGGGCTGGCCTGGGGAGGGTCAGAGCCTGGGCGGCTCATCGAGGCATGCAGGGGGGGCTCCCACTGCTGCACAGACCCTGGCGGAGGCCCAGGGGGCACGTGGCCCCCTGATCTGTGTGTGGGACGAGACGGCTGCTGCTGCGCACTGGACTTTACGCCCCAGGCTTTGCCCTGAGCCCCAAGCTACAGTGAGGCTTGAGGCACAAAGCCTAGCGTGCAGTGGCAGCTGCCTTGCCCCATGCACAGATCAGGTGGAGGTACGTGCCTCCTAGGCCTCCGCTGGGGTGCGTATAGTGGCAGGAGCCCCCCCGCATGCCTGGACAAGCCGCCTGTGCCTGGGCCCTGACCCTTCCATGGCCAAGCCCGGCCGGGGCTCCACTCACTTGATGGCAGGGGGCATGGAGGGGGATCGTCCCACTCACCCAGCCCACCTGCAGCGGCAGATGGCACAACTCGCAGTGCCTGAAAGCTCTGAATCTGAGCAGAGTATTCATCTGAGCAGGAATCTATGGTTGAGGGAGAGAGTTGACTTAAATTCTGGGATGCTCTGAGCACTAAATACAACTGATTTGGAGCCAGTATGATACAACATAAAAGTATGAACAAATCTGAATCCCCAACAAGGCATTTTTATACACCTTATGCTTAAATTTGGACGCAGCTCCCCAAGATTACTTCTTGTATTCACTTGCCCCTGCACTTCCTGATCAGATACGCCACAACTTGTGTCAAAACCTGAAGTTGCAGTCCATCTGGGCGTTCTCTGACACGACACAGGAAAGTTTGCCTGAGAGGTCTGACTATGCTCAGGGTTATCCTGACGAACAACTGAAACAACAAACCTCCTGGTGTTCATGCAGCACTGTTATAAGCACTTTCCAAACTTTGTGGTGCTGCAACCTTTGCTATAGGACTCTTCCAGGCCACATGGTCAGACCCTATTTCTATGTGTGAGCTTCATTAAAGTACTGAACTGAATAGGTCTGATCAGTTCATCAAGCCAAATCTGTGGCTGATGGGTGGAGGGGGGTAAAGCAATAGGGGTCACACTGGATACTTTTGTGACACTTGCAGGAAGTCTGCCCACAACATCAATCCTTATTCTTCCATGAAAGCCCCGACCCATTGCCCCACTGCTAACATGCTTTAGTATACACATTTCCCCGCATCCAGAGGCATAAGAGAGTAGGTCCATACCCAGGGCAGCCATGTGAAGCCTGAGGTAGTGCCAGCTCTTGTGGTAGGACTGCAGTGGTGTGATCAGCTGTTGCTGTGGCAATGGCTACTTTTGTGTTCCTCCCCCTCCTCTTCAAGTTAGCAAAAGAGACTGCACAAATATGCCTCACTCCTCAAGACCCATATTTACATATAAGCATCTACAATAAATGAAAGGGGTGGGGAGCACAAGCGTGTCTCAGTGAACACATTCTCCCAGCATGATGAAATCCCTGTGCATCACCTACTGAACCAACATTATCTGGAACCTTAAAAACACATTGGTGGAGAGATATAAATTGAAGCACAGCTTGTGCGACTCTCCTTAAGTCCCATGGAGCATGCTAATCCGAATTCAGAGCTGCAGACAGATGGCCTATCAAGGCTGCGGCATGGAGCTTTTAGTCACAGGTGATAAACTCTCAACCCCAGCAGCACTGAATGGGTCTGCTTCAGCTCCTGGCTGGGGGTTTTATCCTTCTGAAATATGGGCGAGGTGAAAAGGGAAGGAGAGAAAGGGGGTAAGAGAGGAGAAACTGAAGGGTGAGCGAAAGAGAGACAGGAAGGTGCCAAATTGGGAAGGGAAGAAAGCTAAAGAAGAGAGGGAAGAACAGGGTGTGGAGGGAAAGCATGGAAAGAAGCAAAAAGGAGGTGAGGGGAAAATATGCTCAGAGGGAACACCAACAGGAAGGAATCCACTGGAACAGATGGGAATGGAAGGGAGTGGAGAGGGAGAAGAAACTGCACAGCCCATCTGGCAGAGATGTCCTTCTTGCACTTGAACAACACAGTCCCCTGCAAAACCTTCCAACTCTCTCCACAAAGCAGTGCTCCCAGGCCTTGCAATACCCAGCTTTCCTCCTTCCCTGAGGACTTCTCTGAGATGCCTCCTTTTAACCTGGCAGCAGAGCATTAAAACTCCCAGACACGCAAATGGGCCTTTGCTTCTTCTCTAATGCCTAATTTGCAGCTGTTAAACCAAGCGTGGGGAGGGAAACTTTGCCATTGCATGGAGAATAACGTGGGGTGAGGCCTGATCCTGTCTCATGCCCTGCCTGTGCTCAGCAGAGGCAGAGCAGGCAAGGGAAAACAGGGGAGTGGACGGGCTCAGGCCTTATAAGCCTTCTACCAACTATTTTGGGCCCTGTCAGGGCCCATTCAGGATATAAACCTGAATAGCTCCAGAGTTGCCCTAACTTGTACTCTTGCTTCTTTGGTTCCCTATGAAGCACAGATTAGTTCCAGTGCAGCAGAGATGTCCCCCAGACCTTCTCCATTCCCAGCAGGTCCACTATTGTCCAGGAGCAGGGGAGCTGCCTTCCTCTGGGGATGTTCTCTTGAGGCTGTTTCTATCTCTTGTGCCCCTGAAACATCTGCTGTAGGGCTATGTAAGGATTGGGCCTCATGTGTAAATGGACAGATGGAGAAACTGTGGAGACGTGTGAAGTGAACAGACTCAGCAAGCTGACAAAGCAAGAAGCGATGTGCTAATGATTCTTCCATGAACTCAGCCCTGGAAGTCCTTGGTTTGGGTCCAGGTGAGAACCAAGATCAAGTCGTGTGTGAAATCTGTAGTTCTGGTCCAGTAAATGACTGCATAAACAAAGGCATTATCTCCATCCTGCTCTCCTGAGTTTCACCCCCATTATAGCTCTTATTTTAATTGCCTGATATCATCTGCCAAGGCAGAAGGCGGCCCCTCCTGCTACTTAAAAAAAAATCTTTATGGCATGCTCATGATTTTATGAGAGTCTGGAGAACAGAACCCAGGCTGGGTGCCAGGTGCCTCATGGGACAAATCTGGGAAGGCTGGAGGCTCCAGCTTTCTAGACCCTGCCCTCAAGGTGGGCTGGGGAAGGGAGTCCCTTAAAATGGATTTTTCCAGGAAATCCCTTCCCATGAAAATGCTGTGATTTGAGACATTTTGCCTTGGTTAGGAACAATTTTTTCCCCCATAAATTGTAAAATTTTTTACAGGAAAGGATCTCCATTTCCCAGCCAGCTCTAAAGGACAACTGAGAAGCTGCAGCCAGAGACTTTCATTACTAGGGAGTGGGTTGAGGCCTAGCCCAGGCTGCCAGGCACCAAACATTACCATCTGATGCTGGCAGTGCGGGATGCTTGCCTCCATAACTATTTAGTGGCCACAGCACAGATACTAGAAATCCACTTGCCACCTTCAGGTTGAACACTTGGCAGAGTGGGACCATGGAGTGAATGGGTCAGAAGACTGAACACTTCTGCACAGACACAATAGCCTAAGCTCAGAGGCAGGGATATAGCTTCGCTACTTTTATTGTAGCAGCTTCTAGGACTGTCAATTCAGCCCCTTTTAACAGGACTGAATTCAAGAACGAGGACTGGCAAAGACAGGAAGACAGTCTGGGCATAGGTACTCTTCAGAGAAAGTTCCTAGCTAAACACCCTTTCCTCCCCCTCCATCAGACTAAGTTTAGGACTTTTGGCGAGAACTACCAGAATGAATTGATAGCCGTGTGCGTTTAATTGGAGGAGGTGACCTCCAGAACATGGGGCTGGCCTGTACTCCTATAATCGCTAAGACAAGCGTGAGAACAAGGAGTGGGAGTTGTCTCCTTAGAGCAATCCAAACAGGAAGCATCTTGCAATAACACTTGCAAAACCCACTCTGTCGCTTTTCTCCGTTCTAAGCGCTCCCAGGATTTCAATAAATGCCACAATGCAATAACACAAGATTAGCAACCAAAACTAAAGCCGAAAAGCTCTCCGCAGTCTCCAGGATGGCAGGTCATAAATGTGAAATCCTGCAGAACACACATTATAGTGCCTTTGCATAACAAAACCAGCAAGAACTACTGGAGTTTCTACCCCTCAGGAGAGACATACAACTCCATTTGCTCTTCTGTCTTGTGGGGATTGTATCCCCATTCTCACCAACATCCAAAATGACACTGAAACTATGTCTTGTATCTGGATGAAGCAAAGGACATCACAGGTTCTATCTCTCTCAC